GTGTATATAATCGAAATTAACATCACAAATCAGATCTAGATGTTTACCTTGTTGTTGATGGAAGATCTTGAAGCCTTGAGAACTTTAGCACCTCAAGTGTTGTGCCTCTAATGAATCACAAACACCAATAGCAATTGGATGAAGCAAGAGAGAGAGGGGAGAGAAAAATGGATTAAGCACGTTTGAGCTGTTTAGACCACTCCCCATGGCTTGGCGACTGGGGAATTAGCGACTATTTTGGCATTTTGTTCCCACATTGTGGCCAAGGAAGGCCACGACGTGGATGGTTGCTGATTGGCAATTTTGACTTTAACTTTAACCATTGACTTTTTGACCGATTTGACTTTTGGTCAAACTTAAGTAGAATTAAGTGTTTGGATAAGGATTTGTTTCGGTTTGGCTTTAGGAACCGCTTAAACGACAACGCTAATTAATGCGTTTGAAAAACCAAAATTTTGTAGTAAGCAATTATTAGCCATACAAACACTCTAGTCTCGTAGTATGTGTTACCCTGATTTCAAAAATATAAAGAATGTCCAAAACGGAGTTCGTATGCAAAAGATACGACCGTTTTAAGAATTCAAAACCAGTATAATACTGATTTTCTTAAAACCACTAAAACCGTTTCTATCCGTTGAAGGACTTACACACCTCAAATGGAAATTCTGAAAGTATTTTTGGACCCAGGTCATAGCCGAATATTTAATTTCATATTTGAAGTATTTTTTATAAAAATATTTATAAAAGTAAAAAATCAGACGTTTTCAGCTTAATTAAACGCGGAACTTTAAATGTCATTTCGCAAAGTTTCGTATGTTGAAATTTAATTTCGTCTGTATTTTTTAAATCACCACAACCTGAACATTAAGCATGCATTTTTAGAAAATTTATATGAGTCGATAAGAGGGCACGAGAATCGAGGTATACATCACTATATATATATATATATATATATATATATAGAGAGAGAGAGAGAGAGAGAGAAAATTTGGACATTTGTTATATATAAATATTCAATTCTTTATATATCTCATAAATATATATATATATATATATATATATATAATATATATATATATATATATATATATATATATATATATATATATATATATATATATATATATAAATAAACCGTATGTTTTAAAATTAAGCAAAGTGGGAAAGGTGAATTAATGTGGAATAAGTGTGGGATTTTTTGGAATTTTGTTGAATTTTCGACTGTTTTTTCTTGATTTTAAGCAGGCTTTTTAATAGGGTTCTGCTTTTCTGCCAGGTCGGGTCCGAGTCCTAATGGATGGGTATATGGGCCTCGTTTCTGTCGCTTGGAACATTACTCATGATTCCACTAAATCGGCCAATGTGCCACCGTTTGAAAAGTCATCAAGTCTTCACCTCGACGCTTCCATGCTTTCCCAATACACCTCCGCCATCGCTTCCATACTTTCCCACTACACTACTACCTCCATCACCTCTCTCTACCCAACAACCCAAAATACCGACGGAAACACACCCTACCCATTGATTTTGCCCATTTCGCCACCGCTCCTCTGTAATTGGTCAATCGATGGGTTTCTTTGCAGATAAGAAGCATAACTATTGTTTCACATTGCCCTAACTTCTGTTTGAAGACGACACATGTAAACCTACGTTTTCCAGTTGTTTCATCATGTGTACACCTACCGTTTCCTTATTTTCTAATACACACCTCGTTTATCCATTCCATTGCTTTCATGTTTTCCCATTTCACTCTCCCTCACTATCGATGCGTTGGATGTGCCTCTCTGCGTCTCTTTCTCTTTCGACGGATTAGCACCAGAAAGATCACGACATCACGACGGTTAATTTTGACGGTGATTCAAGTTTCCCCAAGAAACTCCATGTCACGACATCCTGCCTTCCAGGTATTTTCTTCTTCCCTGACACATTTTCTTCTTCCTGACTCTTTGCAATGCTCCAAACCTATAAGTTGTATGATCCGCATCTATTCAACTCCCGGTTCATGTTTACATTAAGGTTTTTTTTGGGTTCTAACTTTGAGATTTCTCCACCTTAAGTTGTCTTGAAGGAAGGTATGTTACATCCGTTCTTGCATGTTTTCTAAATTTTGGGTTTTCATTCTTCTATTTTTTGTTATGTTGATTATGTATTAGCTTACTTTATATGAAATTAGGGCATTTTAGCTAAATGATTCCACCAATATATTTTCTCCACGACCTTTTCCTTTGGTTCCCCATACCACCGCTACCTCATATGATTTACCGTTCTCTTTTTATCTCTTTAACCACAATAATCCTCATCAACATAATTCTCTGTGATGGTCGATTTGTTAGGTTATTTCCCGTACTCAAGTTGGAGTTTTGGTTGTAATTAGCTCACGAATCATCATTGAGGGGTAAGTGAGTCTATTGTTATCGATCTTATTGATAAATTAGAACCACCAATTGACATATCTGTTTGTTTTTAATTTTACTAATGTTTTTATGGCATTATGACGAGAAAAACGGGTCAAAAAGTCTTGCTTTAAACACAAAGTTTGTAGCTAATGTTGGGCATTATTGATCTGTGATGTGCAGCAAATGTCTGGCGAATAAATTATAGATTAGCCATGATCCTAACATGGAACTAGAAGATGTCAGAGGGCAGAGGAGGTTTCATATGCGCCTTTCCTGGTAATGAGAATCCAAACTTTAATAGAAATTAAATAGATAACAAAATCAAGAAGAGAATAGCAATCAACTTATTTGAAATTGATGGCAAAACAATCAATTGAAAAGCTATTGTGCAAGACCTTGTGCTATATAAAAAAATCACATGACAAGGCAATTTCATCTGCATCTCATTCACTTATCTCATTGTTCTGTATGTGTGTGCAATTTATTTGTTTGTTAGGTTAGATGGGTAAACTGGTCTTATTTTCATACTTTCTTCCACTCTTAGTAATCAAAGCAAGGGAATTAATGTGCTTGTTGAGCTTAATTTTCATGACAAGTTGTTTTCTCGTACTGTAATGTAATTACTCATTCCCACTAATTGTCATTCTATTCAGGTGGTAGTATATGACAAGTCAAAGCAGAAATTGGAATTCTTTGATCCCTCTACACCTTAAGATTTCATCTTCGTCTCAGGTACCAACATATGCATAATCTTGTAACTTGTTCTTTTTCATGGTTATAAGGTTATTCTCTTGTTGCCTAATGTACTTTTTCTCCCCTTGTGTTACATCCTACAGATGCAAACTATTTATTCCTTTAATATTTACATATTGGAGTTAGTCAACATTCTCATGACTACTTGATATGCAGGTAAACATCTTTCTGTTTTGAGATTTAAATTTGAAATGAGTAACAAACATTACAACAATACTTGAATATGGGATTATTTAAAAAATAGAGTTACGAATATGCTTAAAACTAGCTGCTATAGAGTTGTGGGGATGGGCATCTAGGTCATTTTGCATGTTGAAATTAGTCTAAAATGAGCAGGGTCAAGTAATTTTGCCTTTGACTTTGATTTCCACCTTGACTTTGACCTTTAAGTTATTTGTTACCTGAGAATGATTACATGTTTTGATACAGATTTACATACAGGATATATGATTGATGACCTGAAGTCATGAATGAGCTGAAGTTGATTCTTGAGAGTTTTGACATTTGCTTTAACTTGATTTTATAAAAAGAAAAGTTAGTCATATGAGGTTAATTACGTTGCCTTTTCTACCCTTTAACCCCATCCTGATATGTAGATCAAACAAAGTACATTATCCATACGCATTGTACAATCCTATTTTGTTTTTGGGTTAAATACAAAAAAGCCAAAAAAAATAGCAATTGCATTTTTTTTTGTGGATTAAATAAGCCACATGGCTTAAGAATTGACATGATTGGATATAGTGGAAGATTGAGAATTTAGCAACTATTTTTGTTGATTTTTGGCTGATTTTCTTTGAATTTTAGCTGATTTCCCTTCTTTGATCGATGGCATGGAGAGCAATCCTTTCTTCTTTATTCCATCATAGCTTGGGACACTTGTTTTCTTCTTATTCTCTCCGCCACCGCCTCTTCACCAATTCTTTATAGACAAGTTTTAGACACCCGTAAACGATAACATACCACCTCTTGCCATCCCTTATCCCCATTGGTCGATACCACCACTTCTCATTTTGATACATCGACTTCTCCTTTTACATCTCTCTCTCTCTCTCTCTCTCTCTCTCTCTCTCTCTCTCTCTCTCTCTCTCTCTCTCTCTCTCTCTCTCTCTCTCTCTGCCCTCCACTTCTCATTTTGTGTTTCCCTCTTCCTTTCTCCCCTGTTACTCTATCATCATCATCGGTTACACATAATTTGTAGAGCCACTGCCCTAAAATTGTTTTCCAGAACTTGAAGGTTAGTAAGGTCCCAATCTCTAATCATGCCCTCCTGTTCTCCTCTATATTTTGTTCATTTTCTTTTTATTCAACAGATTTTATAGTTGGGGTTTGAAATTGTTTTGTGATTTGGGTTTTGGAGATTGTCGTAAGGTATGCAGAGAGGTTGTGTACTTCTGCCTTTCATGCACTTGAAATGACAATATACGAAATTAACAAAAAGAGTTGGTCATAACATTTCTTTTATGTTTGTGATATGTTTCTCCAGATTCTTGATAATGGTCATTGTTAAAGGATAGAAAAAACTCAAAGCAATGCAAGTGTGAAGAAATAAGGCTCTTTCGATCGGCGGTAAATAAGAGAAATAGCAATGTACTTTTATTTAATTGTCTATTATATATAACACTAAACTTCCGTTTTTTTTTCTAATTTCCTACAAAGACCTTCGTGGGCCGTGATTAGCACGGCCTAAAAACTATATATATATATATATATATATATATATATATATATATATATGTCAATTTTTAAACCAAGGTCTAAATTTCTTAATATATGAGTTTAAATTTATATAATACACAAAATACATTGTTTCTAAATCCAAACAAATATATTATGTAAATTCATACACAAAATACCTAGAGAATTGTATTATTTACATAGTTCACACATATACGCATACTATACTCAAAATACTCAAAAGACAATACTTAAAAGACAACTATTAAAATCCCCCGCATCCAAAACTACACACAAGGCTAACGCAAAACTACACTAAAACTGAAGCATAAGAACAAACCTCACATCCTTTTACATACTTCGTTCCTGTCAATGAACATCCAACCAAACACACAAAAGAATCAATTCCATACTCAACCACAAAGCTACACACAATTCATTCTCGATAACAATAAAACAATTAGAAACAATGAGTTGAGAGACAGAACAAACTTTCTTCTTCTTCATCTCGTTTAAGAACACCTCCATTGGAGGTGTTGTTCTTACAGGGTATTTGTGATTTCTTTTTGAAGGGAAAAGTTCTTTTTGTAAAAGACTTTTTTTTAGGGGGTATTTGGGATTTCTTTTTGAAGAGAAAAATTCTTTTTGTAAAAGGACTTTTTATAAAGGACTTTTTTCTTTAAAAAGTGTTTGGGATTTCTTTTTGCTTTTCCAGCCTCAAATGTTCAAAAAGACAAAAAGTCACGGATGCCTCAAATGTTCAAAAAGACAAAAAGTCACGGATGTATGACTTTTGAACTATTTTGAAAAGTTAAAAGTTGATTTAGAAGAAAAAACAAACACCCTTAAGAAATCAACCCAAACGAATGGGAGCTTTTCCCCTTCATCGGGTTCTTACAAAACAAAAGAAAGAGAAAATAACTTCTTTACCTGTTGTTAACAGGTGCTTCCAGTCTCTTTTTTTTCTTCTTTTCTTCGTTCCAGCTCTATACATTCCCTTTTCCCTCTCTTCCTGATCTCCACCGGAGCTGGTTTTGGACCACCAAGAAACACCATTGCCACGGTTAAACCACCACAGACCCACCTTCTTTTTCCCTATCTCATTCTCGCAACAGGAGGAGGAACGGTGACAGTAGGAGGGTGTCACCGCTAGCAAACCACCGTCACCGCCGTGTTGCTGTTGTTTTCGATCAATTGTGTTCTCAATCAGTCAAAATCGAATCTTTATTGTGAGATTCTTGTACTTGTTCCCTTCATATTCTCGATCTGATGATGAACCCCAATCGAACCTTCCCCTGGATCGACCTCCGATTGACCTTCTTTCTTTTTCTCGATCACAAGTATTGCTTCTCACAAGCTTTACTTCGCGATCCTTTCCTCGATCAAGCGATGATCGAAACCCCTAATTGAGTTATGAGACCGATTCCTTTGTGCCCTTCGTGTTTCATTCGTGATTTTGCCCGATCAGACGAGCCTCCATCTCCTGTCTTCGCGTCTGCTTCCATTCGTATACCCCGTTCTTTTCTTTACCCGATCAAAACAAAAGACGGGGACAATTTAAGCCCTAAATTAGTTAAGTTTGGGCCGTTAATAAAAAATGGTCCCTCCATGAGATTCCTTCTCGTAAAGCCCTAATTTCCTTTCAACTTTGATACATTTACAAAATAACCCATACTGCCATATTTATTTTAGAAATCAATCCCAATCCCCAAACCTTGACCCATTTATTCAAAATAACCCCTCCCATAGAGTTTTCTTAACAATACCAGTCCAAGACTCAAACATTAAATTTCATTTTAACCATTTCATCCCCTCACTTGATTTATTTTTATCAAAACAGTCCTATGTTGGTTAAATTAAATTACCAAACAACCCTTATATTTTGGTGGAATTACAAAACAACCCTTATGGTGAAAATTGCTACAAAACAGTCCCAAGAGTATTTCAAAGTTTAAGAAACGTGGAATTGCAGTTTCTCACGTCAAACTTCTCAAACAAACCGATTTCGAACAAATGCAACTCACGCTTCAAGGGTGAGTATTACGGCCCCACTTTTACATATTTCCGGGGGGAGGGGGGATACATGTAGTTCTTGTAATATATATTATATGTTTTTCCTAAATGCTTTGTTTATACAAACAACATTTTTATGCAATATAAATCACACAAAAATATTATTTACTACTCTACTACTTAACGTACGGGGAATCTAGTTTGAAGGGCCGCATAGGGTTGTTGGATTTCAGAACGGCTTAATTGCTAAAACGGTCCTACCCTCCAGTGTTTCATGTCTGGTCCTCGTCTGTACATGGTAGTACATGTACTAAGTAATGTTTATCATACAAAATACACATGAATTACCATTATTTTGTGTAAACACATTTCTAGCTCGTGAAATATTTGTTTAAATACTTGTATGTTATAAGTAAACAAAAATCGTTTTAAACATCAATATTTACATATGTTATGTTGTGAAAATAATACAACTAATAAAAATAACATATACATTCTGACTACAAATTTTCTATGACTGTATAGACGGTTATCAACTTGGTAGTTTCAATGTACCTCATACATACACAAAACTATATAAGTTTATATATTTATACAAGTTATAGAACTTGTATCTTAGGCTCGTACATATGCTTGTGTACACTACCCTAAGATTATCAACTATTTAAACAAGTATAGTAAACTTTTATGTTTACGCTTATAAAATATACTTGTCATTTATCCGTTTATCCGTATCTGCGGTTGTTAAGTACAACCTTGGCAGATAACTTTATCCATATATCCGCATGTCTGTTTATCTGTATCTGTGGTTGTTAAGTACAACCTTGGCAGATAACTTTATCCGTATATTCGAATGTCTGTTTATCCGTTATCCGTACAACCATGGGCTTGGTTGCTTTCAAAACTATTGTAAGTATGGCATTACTTATGGAACATAACGTTTTGGCTTTCAAAGATTCATTACAAAAAACAGTTTTATGTATGGATTTATTTATAAAAACTATACATTTTGGCTTTTAGAGACTCATTGCAAACACTGTTTTAACTATTGTTATACATACAAAGAAAATACTTTTTGGACTTTTTAAAAGTATTAATGCGGTTAGCAGAAAACCTGTAATGCTCACCAACCTTTGTGTTGACCCTCAAACTTACATGTATTCTCATGAAATCATTAGACAAGCGTTCAGACAAAAGATTGGTCATGGAATACAGACGACCTAGCTATCTAGTTTTTGTTATCTGTTTACGTGTTTAAGGCAACTATTGTATTATTATTATCTGTAAGAACCTTGTATTCAAACGTAATGATGGAATACAAAAGCTGTTTTGTTTATCGTTGTGCTTGTGATATATATTCATTTTATCTGTGATCCATGAACTTAGTCGCACTCCCGGCATGTTCCGCCTCGGGGGTGTGAAAGAATGGTATTAGAGCTAAATTGGCTATAGAGAACTCGTATCCTCGAAAGAGGAATACAACTATATCAAACTAGCTTCTAATAAAAGTATTATTAATAATAACACTACTTCTCGACTACTAACGGTACATCATATCTGGCCCATGTTTGTGCTCGGTATTCGGGATGTATAGAAAAAAAGTTAATAATACTACAAACCCCACCAACCATAATATATAAGAGTTGATATATACTCTGACCCGCGATGAGAACAATTAATAAAAGTTTTAAACATCCCTTCAACTAAAGCTACCAACTCAACCATTTAGGTCAAACGCCTCAACTAAGGTTAGTATCATACATAAGCCATGCAATAATTAAACCTGGAACACGCGCCTATGTTATTTATGGTCGGGTCGGTGCACAACCAACCTTGAGCAAGGAGTTTGACAGACTACAACATTTGAGAGTTTTAGAGATTGAAGAATGTTCTCCAGATTCGCTGCAGCAACCTAGTACCTTAGAATCCATATATACATTTTAAAACACTAATACATTTCAAAATCATTAGCAATTAAGACCCCTTTCTATCATTCGGAAATCGATAGGATTTCTAAACCAATCACCTTTCCCCTGTCATTTGAAAATCGGTAGGATTTCAATAATCAATCTCACTCTATGACTTGGAAATCTATGGGATTGTAGGAATAAATTATACTAATAAACTATCATGCAATACAATTCTTACATGCTTGTTATGATTGAGTAGTATAAACAACTTAAGTGTGTCTTTTCTAAACGTTAAGGGCAATGCCTCTACGAAAGGAACCATGAGTCGTCCACCGCCAACTCCCCGAGGCAACCGGAGGAAAGCCCCACAAATAACTCAAACCTTGGCAGAAACTCCAAACCGTGAAGAAAATCTTAACGCAACAAATGTGAACCCAACATTCCAAATGGATCCCACCATGGTGCAAAACATGCTTGCACAAGGAATTGCTACAACCCTGGCAGCATACGAGGCAGCCCGAAACGGAAACACTGGGAATAGTGGAAGTGGCACTCCAATAACTCACGAAAACAACCCTAGACACTGCTCCTACAAGGAAATCATGGGCTCAAACCTCGATCCTTCTACGGAACTGAAGGAGCTGATGGTCTTGTTGGATAGAAAAGACCGATGCAGTTTTTCACATCAATGTGTGCCCCGATGACTGTCGGGTCAAGTACGCTACCTATACGTTGATGAACTCCGCCTTAACTTGGTGGAATAACCATGCAAAGTCCAAGGGAATCGCTGAAGTTTATGCCATAGGTTGGGAACAACTGAAGCAGATGATGATCAAAGAATACATTTGGGGACTAGCTTCACCTGTTCAAGGTCTGGTTACTGCATCCGGATCATCCACTTTCGATAGTGCTAAGCAATTATCCAATCAATTGACTGAGCAATGTATTCGTCAAGGTACCATGGCCCCACTAGCAGAAAAGAACCATATTGGAAGTACCAAAAGGAAGTTTCATGGGAAATCAAAGGGGGACTCCAAGCATCACAAAACTAAACCAAAATATGTGGCTGTCTATGCCGCAATTACCAACACTCCCACCCCAGCTAAGTCCTACACTGGGACTCTACCCTATTGTACCGAATGCAATTTCCACCATGTCGGAAATTGCAGTGAGATAATCTGCAACAAGTGTAACATGAGAGGTCACATCTCGAGGTAATGCAGAAAAACCCCAACCATTACGACAGGAGGAAGCCGTAACTGTTTTGAATGCAATCAACCAGAGCATTTTAGGAAGGACTGCCCGAAACTGAAGAATCAAGGTGGCAATGGAAGGTTGCTTATGATCACTGCTGGAGATGCTCTCCAGGAACCACCTGTGGTTATTGGTACGTTTCATATCAACAATGTTTAGGTTTCGATATTAATTGATACTGGTGCCGATTAAAGCTTTATTGGCCATATGTTTCGAAAACATGACAAAACATAAATTTCGTAAACTTAATGAAACTTACACAGTAGATATGTCAATCAACCAAATAGAAAGCACTTTATAAATACTCACCATTGCTTTCTCACTCTGAATAATCACGTCATTCATATAGAAACTAAGGACCCTTGATGGTAATCTATGCTTGCTAAGTATATACGTTAGGGTGGTATATAATTAGGACTCTATAGACTTAGAATTTGTAACTCCGCTTTACTTCATGTTCCTTGTTTGGTTGTGGGCTTAAGGTAGAATCACTTATACGATCATCTATTCGATCTTGATTATATACGACATGTATACACAAGGCGATTATAGAAGGACCAGGCGGGGAACATGTACCACGAAAATACATTACCATTTATCGAAGCCATGTGTACTATGAGTACAAACTCAATTTCGGGATGAAATTTCCTTTAACGGGGAGGTAATGTGACATCCCAGAATTTAGGGAAAAAATTATAACCGACCAATTCACTGTGAATCTCGTGATAATCTGACTTACTGAGTTTTTGTGCACTAAAGTAAAATATATAATATTATTTCAATTATTATATGATGTCAACTAATACCTTACTTCCAAATGTGTAAACTGTAAATCGAATCAAACCGCTTAAACGGCAACGCTAATTAATGCATTTGTAACACCGAAATCTTGTATTAAGAAGTTACAAACCATACAAACACTCTAGTCTCGTAGTATGTGTTTCCCTGATTTCAAAAATATAAAGAACGTCCAAAACGGAGCTCATATGCAAAAGATACGACCGTTTTAAGAATCCAAAACTAGTATAATACTTATTTTTTTAAAACCACTAAAATCGTTTCTATCCGTTGAGGGACTTACACTTCAAATGAAAATTCTGAAAGCATTTTTGCACCCAGGTCATAGCCTAATATTTAATTTTATATTTGAAGTATTTTTGATGAAAATATTTATAAAAATAAAAAATCAGACGTCTCCAGCTTAATTAAACGTGAAACTTTAAATGTCATTTCGTAGAGTTTCGTATGCCGAAATTTAATTTTGTCTGTATTTTTGGAATCCCCACACCCTAAACATTAAGCAGACACTTTTAGAAAATTTATATGAATCGATAAAAGGGCACGAGAATCGAGGTATACATCACTATATATATATATATATATATATATATATATATATATATATATATATATATATATATATATATATATATATATATATATAAAATATTGTAGATACTAATATGACAAAATTTGGACATTTATTATATATAAATATTCAATTCTGTATATATTTCATAATCATAAGTTATATATATGTCAATTTTTAAAACAAGGTCTAATAAATTAATAAATTTCACATTTCTTAATATATGAGTTTAAATTTATATAATACAGTTTCTAAATCCAAACAAATACATTATCTAAATTCATACACAAAATATATAGAGAATTGTATTATTTACATAGTTCACACATATACACATACTATACTCAAAATACTCAAAAGACAGCTATTAAAATCCCCCACATCAAAACTACACACATGGCTAATGCAAAACTACACTCAAACTGAACTGTCACAAGAACAACCCTCACATCCTTTTACATACTTCATTCCTGTCGATGAACATCTAACCAAACACACAAAAGAATCAATTCCATACTCAACCACAAAGCTACACACATTTCATTCTCAGTAACAATAAAACAATTAGACTAAGAGGAGTGGGGGTCGCCACCGGGCTCGCTAAGCTCTCCAGTGATCAATGAACACCACCCCCTAGCTCTCGCTAAAGGGGTCGCCACCAGAGCCTCGTTACAATTTTGGCGAAAAGAGAGAGAGAAAGTGAGGGTTGAATTTGATTGGTGCTTGCAGGGGCGGATGAAACATACAGTGATAAACCAAGAAAATGAGGAATCATTTTTGTAAACCATCGATTTGTGATTGTTTACAGAAGATGAGAA